TTGGCAAAACTGCAAACATTTAAAAAAGATGATGGTACCAGAGCAGAGGCCGCTCGCTCAGCCGAGGTGGCCTCAGACGTTCCCGGCTGGAGCCTGGGAGCCCTCGAAGAACAGCAGACCAGCAGGAGGAACGTCGGGGTCCAAGGCGCGCAGGGCACAAGCGGCTGGCCGGTGCACCAGGGGCCTGGTTTGGAGGGGGCCCCGGCCCGCGTCACCGCGGAGGGGAGCCCTTGACGCGTGGGGAGAAACTCCATTCGGAAGCGTCCCCGCCGACAGCCCGGCCCAGCCTCTGCGGCCTTCGCGGAGCAGGGCGAGCCAGGGCGCCCGAAGCCTCGAGTGGAAAGCGGAGCCGCACAGCACAGCCCCCGCGCACTGTTCTGTGGATCGCGCAGAGCGCGCGGGAGCAGAGGACGCTGGCTTCCGTGGGACCCTGCTCTCAGGTCCCCCTGTCCCCACTCCCGGTGGCAAACGGGAGCGCAGGCCCCTTCCAGAGACACCTTGCTCTCCCGCTGTAGTCCTGAGAGAGGAGCGGGGCGGGGAAGGGGCTGGGGCCAGAAGCACGGGTGGGTAGAGCTTGGCTGTCAGGAGTGAGCAGGAGGACCACCAGCAGGGGCTCGCTTGGGCGCTGGCTGGAAATGCAGACTCTCAGGCCCGCCCCACCCATCAGCCAGGACGTTCATCAGACCCACTGAGGATCTTGGGCACGGTCGCACGTGGCGCACTCTGACCGGGGCTGCCAGGACCTCAGGGCCCACAGCTCAGCGGCATTGTGTGCGGCTGAAGGCGATAACTTCTATTACCGCCTTGTCTGCTAACTTAAAAAATAAAAGTAAAAAGTTATCACACAATATGGGAAAGCTTTACACCTCCATACATCTGGAGGATGTATGGACAGAGAAGCTGGAACTCACAAGAAATAGAATTCATTTTTTTTTTGGCCAGAGAAGGTATCACCATTGTACCCAACCCAGGGCTTCCCTTTCCATTCCTTAGACTCAGCTGTTGCGACCTGCCAAGCATACAGTAGAAGAACCATATTAAGTGTTGCTCCTTACCTGGAAGGCAGTTGATTCAAGCCCCAGAACAGATTCGTGGAGAATATCGTCACACCCTTCTCTGCTGTCATAGCTGGTGAAGAGTGAATGACAGGCCCTCGCCCCACCATTGTCTACGAAAATTACTCAGTGATCATTCAAAGGGCCTCACAACTGTCTCTACAAATTTTCAAAAGAACGCACTGAACGGATTGAACCGACTCTTGTAACCAGAGGAGCTTAATTAGATGAACTGGTACAGAAAGGATAAATGCACCCATCTCTTTTACTCATAGCAGCTCTCCTACTCATGGCTATAAATACCTTCCAGCCTCTTTGGAGTCTGCGGACAGGGATACGCTGCCATTTCCTCTGCTAATCTCTCATTGTTCGGGGGTCTGGCCAAGCGCCACAACGGAAAAGTTGCCATGCCTGTTGATTTTTACATGCATGCCTTTCACAGAGTAATTATTGCTTCCCGGAGGGCTGTGTGCTCACCCTAATTTTAGCCATAGATTTACTCCTGTGGTGGTAGGTTATGCACATTTATTGCTGAAAATTAAGTCGGAGGGTTTTTTTCCTTCATATGTATCCATCTCAGGTTAATGGGATGCATTAGTTCTTCCCCTGTGTCTGATGAGAAGACATGATAGAAAATCGTCTTATTTGAGAATTGTTGCTTTCCTAAATGACAGAGTACTCATTCTCAAATTAATTTTGCTTGGAATGTTTCTCATATCTAAACTAGGGACAACTCCTTAGATGTGGATCTTAGCCAGAAAAACCTTATACTTTTCAAAGTTATAATTGCCTCATTACACCAGAGTGTCCACATTTTAGTAGTGAAAGAAATGATTGTTTAGCTTGGAAGACTTTTCAGTCTAAGAAGATAAAAGCCGGTTGGGGAGTGTGCGCGTGTGAGGGAGCCGCAGTGGCCTCCAGAAGATGAAGTGTTAATGTTCAGAGGATGGAGACCAGCTGCTTCCCAGCCGCACTGAGACCAGCCCCACAGAAAAGGCTCAAGGGCACCAGGAGAACTTGAGGGCCTATGGGAATGTGCCATGGAAGGGAGGGCCGACACCACAGGAGGTGGAGCCCACAGGATTTCTAGAAGAAATTGGGAAATGGCTCTGAAGATTGTTACATGTGCTTTGTACAACTCCTGAATGCTGGTGGTTCTAAATATACCACTGGCGTATTTAGCGCATGATCACAGTCCTCTTCAGCAGACCTCTGCTATGTGCCTACAAGGTATAAATCTCTTGCTGAGTATGGTACAGCAGCTCCTCCTCATTCCCCTGGTGCCATGGAAAAGGCAAAGTCCTCACAGCCGGAAGAGTCCGGGTTTGTATTTCAGTTTTGCAACTTGCCACCTTTGTTACTTTGGGCCCATTATCCAATCGTTCTGAGTTTAATGTCCTTATCCATGAAATACCAACTTCAGAGATAAATTGTAACCATTGAAGAAGATCACATATATGTCAGTTTCCTGGTACAAGAGCAGGTATAGTTAAACATTTAATGATAACATTGAGAGCTCATTATTATGATATATGAGGCATATTAGGGCAAGGGACTGTTGAGTACTTTATTTATGATACTGAGATTCTGTTTCTATTTTACACAATAGGAAGCGGATGCATAACTTCACTTGCAGAAGGACAGAAAGCCAAAAAGTGGTGAGGCAGCGATGCAATAAATGCATTTGTTGGCTTTAAGGATTTGTGCTTTCCTCACTGTAACACAGTGTCCCAGATTACATAAAACAAATTAAAGATCCTGAGAATGCTTATGTGCATATGTACATGTTAAAATGTACATTTGGAAACTATGGTTTCCAAAACACAGGCTGTCAGAATGATTATTAAACCTTGTCTATATGCACTCTATCCCGCTTCTTTTCTTTCTTGGACACCCAGTCTATTTTGGGGATCTGTCATCGCTAGGAGAGACCAGTAAATTTGATTCAAGAATCTCTCTGAAATTATCAATACTATGCAATAAAGGGGAATATGATAAATTTCTTTTAGATCTGTGTTTTATTTTACCAATTTCTATCATGTTATTGATGATTCAACAAACATTTGCTGATGTTTTTGCTCTAGATGATAGGCTGGGTACTGGGAATTTCTGCTTTAAGGATGTTTTGTGTAGTGAAAAAGACATTGAGAAAAGATTGTGATGTAATGAGGTAAGTGATATCATATAAATGGTATAAAGCTCCCAGAGGGGGTGAATTTGGTAAAGCATTTCAAAGTAAATGACATTTTATTTGGGCCTTATGTATGTATATAGGAGAGCAGATACCTAGTCCAAGACCTTGGTAAAAAATTCTAAAAACTCTAAAAATTTACTTGTGGTATATTGAGAATATCTTAATATCTGCTGTACCTTAATTCAGACCCATGATACCTTAATGAAAGTAACATATTTTAATCATGAATGAAATTAGAATGATGAGAATGAAGTAGAATATATTACAAAAATATCACTACTAATTCTCCACGAAGAACTTAAACATGAATAGACTTTTCCTCTTAGAAAGTTAGCCGTTTAGATTTTGGACACCAAGAGGTTACTTGTCTGTATACCTGCAAATGAGGGAGGGAAACAGGAGTAGATGTGATTCCTGGGATAGCCAACCAGAACATCCAAGAAGGCTTGACTCACTCACACTTCCCCTTGCCAGACGTTTCTACATGCTAGCTGGCTTGGAAACTTCTAGATAATTATTGGCAATCATTTTTATACCATATACATTTAGCTAAATTGGTACTTTTATAACTTGAGAATGCTTCAGTCAAGCTATCAGCCATTTTTTCATATTCATAAACTGCTGTTCCAAATAATTTTGCCTCTAAAAAATGTGTTCTGAAAGGTCAAAAAAAAACTAAAGAAGACTACTAAGTTTAAGACTTTATTTTAGTTAAGTGCACACCCTTTTATATGTTGGCTGAAAATGTAAATGTAACATACAGTGGAAGGAATGTGAACATTAAGGGAATAGTATTGGTATTTATTGTTGGTCATTTGCTAAGGGCCTGCTACCAACATCTTCGATATAAAAATTCTGGAATTTATTGGTATAATATTACAAATATATTTAAAGAAAAAAAATGATTCTCAAGTTCTGATCAAATCACCAGAGAGACGCAATGAACAGTGGCAGAAGCTTGTCTTATAATAAGCTTAGGAGTTTGGATTCTAGTACACATTTGGTTAATTTTCACAGTTCCTATGAGGGTTAGGATTTTTGCATATGAGTTACTACACATGCATTTATTTAGCATATACACATGCATGTGTATATGAATGGATGGTCATGTTATAATTTACCCAGTATACATTAAGTTTGGGTGGGTGCCTGTCCAACTTGTTCAAATAACTCAAAAGGCAGCTGTCACTGTTCACTGACCTGTTCCTATCAAGCATACCATTTATGTTATATGCTACCAGATGGGGGGTTTTCCTTGCATGATTTAATTTTCCAACTCACGTAATTTATAGTAAATTGTTTTCCCTGGTCTTTTCCTGCAGTTTGTCCTCTTTTCCCTCATATATCTCATTACATAATATTTCTTTTAAAAATCCTAAACTGTTAGGGTGCTTATGTAATAATAAAAGTGATTGTAATTTTTGTTTTCAGAAAACAAACATATTAAGTCAACATAAAAAATTTTGAAAATTATTTTAGACTATTAGTAATGTAACTATTTTTGCAGTCAGAAAGTGTGATGTTTGTTAAAATGGTGTGCTAGTATCATGTCTCTTTTAAGTGTGACACTATTATCTTAAGAGTAAAAATAATACCAGTAGCTTACTTTATTATAACCTAACACATAAAAATAATGCTTCACATGCATAATAAGCACTATTCATTTTTTTCTTATAACAATTCTTTTTACCGTGGTTTGGTATTAATCATGCAGCAAGTAAAGCCTTTGGAAATAGTATGCAAACAAGAGGTTTTTAAATCAAAACTGTTTATTGTAAAAAAAAAAAAACCTTGAAAATTGTTTTTTAAAAAAGAAACGTTGATTTCACAAGTCTTCAGGTTGTTTATAGACATAGCTATGGACAGCATCTCAGTTTCATACAAAACTCATTCAATCATATAAAAATAAACACAAATTTACATTGACTCATCAACTACACGATTCAAAAAGGCACTTGGAAGGGGAATTGTATTATTGCATTTCTGATATGCATTTGAAATAGTTTAAGTACATTAATGAATTTGTAAAAATCATCTTTTGCACCTATTCCCATCTTTAATTAATTTTCGAAAATCATTAAAATTCCTTAGAATAGTAAGACGTAGAGCATGTGCCAGGAATGTTCAAAACTAATCTTTCCCTCCTTCCCCAAGGCACATACTGTTAATTGGCAAAAACAAAACAAAACAAAAATACTTTTAATACATTCTCCTGTGTTTTGTACTTTTTCTTTTTTTTTTTTCTTCGCTTTAAAAAATACACTTTAAAGCACTACAGGTAATCAAACAAGGCTTTAGTTCAACAATGGTAACCAGACATCAGACATGGAGTAAACTTGGAATGCATTTTAAGGCACCTGAGTTTGCGTCTGGCAGATTCTCTTCCTATGGGAAATCCTATTACAGACTCTATTACAAAGCAATACTGTTCTTTTCAATTGAAATGATTTGGCATCAATGTAAATCTTTGCATTCTCTTTTAGGAAGAAAAGATGCGATGTGCTTTTCATTTTTTCTTTGAAGAGAATTCTCTGAATCTAGCCATCAGCAAATATATAGTAATTTTAAATTTCACATGGAAAGGACTATCTTTAAACACATGAATTCCATGCTCTTGCAGCTCTTCGTGTGTGTGTGTGTGTGTGTGTGTGTGTGTATGTGTGCATGTGTGTGTGTGCATATGTGTGTGTGTGTCTATACATATTATTTGGTCAGTCAGCACAGGAGAAAATGCCTTTGGACTTTATTTGTCATTTGGCTTCGGAGTGAAGAAATGCATTCTGTTCGAGTAAACATTGATTGCGTCACTCAGTGTGCTACACAGCAGCCAGATTCCTCATGTTTGTGCAGGAGAGACATTCTGGAGAAGGTTTTGGAGCAGTTTTTGCACTGGTATTTCTTTACATCAGAATGGGTCTGCAGATGAGCCCTCAGGTTTGACCTGTCTGCAAATGCTCTGTTGCAGTGAGGGCAAGAAAAAGGCTTCTCCCCTGGGGGTGGAGTGGGAGGAAAAAAGAAAGACAGTCAGTGTTTTTAGAGAAAACATACAGTTAAATAATGTTAACAAAAGTCAATCACATTTTGCCTAAATAATGAGAAGCAGCAAAATCGGATTAAAATCCCTCATAATAGACACTTTTGAAACTATCTGACCTTTTAAGATAAATTTGAATATTGCATTAAGACACCATACACAGAATATTATTACTGCTGCCAATCACGCAGAAATAATTTACGTAGCTCTTGGACTTTCATTTCTTAAAGCTTTCTTCTTCAGCAGGTGCAGCTAATGTCGAGCACCTCACAGCATTTCCCAATAATTCCCCCTTTTCTCTCTTTCTGTACTACGATTAAGGCAGTCTAAGTGCCATGACACCCGGCAGGATAATCCCGTGATAGGAATAAGAAATTAAGCAGCAAAAAATCCACACACAAAGCAAGAGAGGCAAAATAAATTTAGTTTCAATTATCCAAGTCACCCATGGGTGACAGATATCAGAGCAAGAATGTAACTAACAGAAAACTGTAGGAAAAGCCTTCATCTATTAACCAAATCAATTGATTAAGATAGCAACATTTGTATTTGCTGATTACTGGGGGCAGTTTCACAGAACACACATTCAAGCACATCTTTCCTGCTTTTCTCACTGATCTTTGAGACCAAACCTTCTGAAACTACTTTCCAAAGTCTACATGGTGTTTGCAGTCCCTGGAGCAGAGGCTGTTAGCAAGAAATGGAGCACTTTGTGCCCTAACAGCTTTTTGAGTAGTCAGGAAGTAGCTATCAGTGACTGTCCTCATTAAAAGCACTATGTCACAACTTCATGCAAATCCAACAGCCAGCCCAGCTTCATTGTGTCTGAGAGTAACATGCCTGTCTGTAGTTTTTCTCTTACCAGTGTGAGTTCTAATGTGTCCTTGAAGCAACCAGGGTCTGGAAAACGCCTTGCCGCAGATCTTGCAAACACAAGGTAATGTGTGGGTCCGAATGTGCATCTTCAGGGCGCCCAGGCTCACATATTCCTTGTCACAGTATTTACAGCTGAAAGATTTTCTAGACTGAGCATCGCAGTGCAGCTGCTTGTGTTTCGCCAGCCCAGAAAACGTTGAATAGGTCTTATTGCATAAATTGCACTGAAACTTTTCAGCTTCAATGGCATGGGGGTCTGAAAGCTTGGACTGTAGTCTTTCCTCTTCATCACTAATGGGGCTTTCTGAGCCACTGTGGTCCTTGGAGGAGGTGTCAGATGGAGGAGGGGGACTCACTCGCCCCAAAGATGAGGAGTATCCGGAAAGTGGAGAGAGGCCATTGGGTAGCTGGGCGTGGAATGGAGCTGCCGTAGTCCACACGGTGATGGGGCTGTATGCTCCTGAGCTGAGGATCTCCGGTTGTGGTATGACAGGCATGGAGTAACTCTCATAGAGATATGGGGAAATAATCACTGGGGAAGAAAAGAGGAGGAGAGAAGATTAAGGTAAAAATAACTAAAAATAAATCCACACGCACTCATACATACACTGAAAAGGTATTTAGCAACACACACGTGATTTCCTCAGGAAGAAGATAGGCCCATTTAGGAGGGCATGCACCCTGCTAAGGTGTTTCATTTCCAGCCTGGCACCGACGGAGTTACTGTAGTTAATGCACACAGAGGCTGACAGCTGCAGGGAGCTATAGGTGCTCTGAAGTCAGGGAGCGCAGCCAAGCAGCGCCGCACGTCCCCACTGAGGACGCAGAGAGCCTCCACATTATTTTTAAACACACAGAAAGTTGTTTTTCATTTTGTGCCTGGGCGATTTACGTGTATTACGACCGTCAGTACAAAGATATGCCTGCGTCAAGCTGCCTTCTAAAGGAGAGGAGACTTAGTGAGCGAAAAACGCAGTAATGCAAGCCTTATGTTGCTCATCCTTCACATACTCATTACGCATGTATCCACAGGCTTTAGCAAACCAGGCTGCGAGATTCGAATGAAATGCTCCTTGTCAGTCAAGAGCTCAAAAAGTTTTGAATTAAAACGCACCCTAAATTATCAAAATGAGGTAAGCTCCCTTTTAGGACATCGCTTTAAAGGAAACCAGCTGTATCTTTGGCTCTTTTGTAATGGTATTTGAAGAGCAATACGTAGATTCGCATTTGCAAAGCTCTAGATACTTAGCTCTAGATCTATTTTTCTCTTTTTACCTGTGTGTGTGTCCAGTTCGCTGTAGTTTGGCTTTTTGGAGGCGTTGAAATGCTTCTTGACCAGGAAGGAGCGCGGCATCTTGCCGGCGGGTCTGGCGGGCGCCGGCGCAGATAACGGTCCGGCGGGAGGACGCGGCGGTCCCTACAGCATCGCGGCTGGCCGGGCTCGGGCAGGGGCCGCGCTCAGGTGCGGCAGGCGGACGGGCCGGCGCCTCTGAAGTCGCCCGGCTCCTTTACGAACTGAGCCCGTTTTGGCTGGGAGGGTTTTTTTTTTCCTCTCTTTTGCAAGAAAGATCCAATCACAGCTGAGAGGTTCAGATTTCAGCTCCTCCCTCTGGGACAGCTGTGAACAGAGGAAGAATCTGTTGTCAGACTAAATTATTCTGGTTCAAAATGGGCTGTTTTTCGAGATTTCGGGAGAGAGGGAAAAAAATGTTTAAGTATTTTCGAGAGAGGTAACCCCGCTCGGCGAGCCCCGCCCGCGACCCGCGCTCTCTGCAGCCAGGACGGGCGCAGGAGCCGGGGTCTCTGCCCGGCCCGCCTGGCCTCCAGATGTGGGGCAGCGCCAGCGCGCGGGGACACGGTGTCCGCCAGGGAAGGAAGGGCCGCCCTGCGCCACGCCAGGCCAGCCTCTGGTGTTAATGAGAGCCTATATTTGGAAGTGGCATTTGGAGAGGTTTGCCTTGCGCAGGGACAAATAATTAACTCTTGGCCTTTGAAAAAGGAAGGGGGAAGCGGGAAGACAAAGGCGCCTGTGAGCGCGGCGGGCGCTCTCCTGGGACCTGGGGCTGGGGTGGGGGGGCTGCAGCCTTGCCTGCGGCCAGGGCAGTGCGCGACTCCACTGGGGCTTCCGCGAAGCCCGGGGCAGCGTGGCCGCGTGCAAATTGAGTAATCTTGTCACCGTGTCAGCTATGGTGGCTTGAAAGAAATGCTTTGTAGCCCTTTAAAGGCAGGGTGATCGGAAGAACTGGAAGACTGCAAAGATAAAAAGGAACGCTGGCAGAGAAGGGGGTGGGGGGGGCAAGAGGTAAACTGTCATTTGGAACCATGGGACAGTCTCTCACTCACACTTTGACAAGAGATCTTATCTTTTCATGTTCTATGGTGCATTTTTATGGGAAAAAGGGTGTATGGGTCTTTAGAAACGATTATTTCATTTCAAATATTCCCCCGCTTTTATTTGGTGCTATTTTCATCAGTATAAAGCCATTAAAATTCACCTCCGTATCCGCCAGGTTCCTGTATAATGCTTAAAAGACAAATTAAAGGATACTCTTAGGAGTATCAGTTGGTTAAAGGTTTCATAATCCACTCTAGTAACTGGCAAAAACACCTTTCTTTTGTATATGGTCTTCAATCTAAAAATACTTTAAGATGATTTATTTTAAATATAAAATTTCAAGCATATTTTAAAGCATCTTTGCTTATTGCACACTCTTATCCCTACCTTTACTAAAAGAATAAGGAAAGAACAAATTCACATAAAGATCATCCTACTTTCGTTTCTAACAGGTGCTGGAGGAAAAAAGTGAAAAAGAAAATAACAGTGGTGATGTCAAGACTTGTCAGAGAAAACTGCATCGTCAGGCTGCATAACTTCTTAATCTTGGAATGAGAAAACAAGCGTGTATGTGTGTCTGGGGGTGTGAGGTGGGGCACTCACACGTTTCCTGAGCTAATTTCAATGATCATTCTTATCTCTTCCAGCAGACACTAATTTAAACGTCAAACGGAGAAGATAATTCAAAGGAATCCTTACGCTGAGGGAACTCGACTGGCAGGAGACAGGAAAATATGAAGGCACCTTGAATGTCTTCACAAACTGGAACCCGGAGGAAAAGCCAGAGCGAGTTTTCTAAGCTTGCCACTCTATGTGAGGGTTTGTTCAGATGTAGGTACCTGGGTTGATGGGAGCAGGAGTCCTCCTTGCTCTTCACTCCATTTCCCGAGACACACACACATTTTTGTTAGAGATCTAGCACAGTTGAGAAAGCAGAAATCCTCATGAGTCGTTACGTGCTTGTTTCACTCTGCACCATCTATTCACAACAGAGGAGAGTGTTGGACAACGTTTGGTATTTCTTTGATGGTGGTTATGACAAACAAGATAATCGACTAAAATATGTATTCAAAAATCCATTTGCAACGTTGAACAATAATTCACTATGCATGAAAAAGCTTAAATTTGGATCAGGGAGGCATAGCCCAGCCCAGCCCCATCAGCAGGTATCGGAGGGTGCACAGCAGAGATCGGCGTCTGGGCCTGCGGCCACACCTACTGCGAGGGGCGGATGGGGCTCGGGTCTGTGCATGGGGCATGTCATTACACAGATCCGCGTGCTAGCGAGTCACACGGATGCCCGTGTGAGGTCTGGGCTGCTGTCAGAGCAGGGCAAGTCTACGCGCCGATGGCGTGAGTCAGACGAAACAGGTGCTCTGCTCAGACACAGCGGAGAGAGTGCGGCGCCAGCACCACGTGGTAGAAATGCAAGCCGGGAAGTCGAGGCCACACCCAAAGGCCAGCTGCTGGGACTCTGCTAAGACAAGACAGAGGTTTCTTCTCCTTCTGCCAGCCAGAGGGCTCATCTGGAGGGGTTGGCTTTGGTCGTCGACCAGGGACAGAAATCTTTGTGGAGGCAATTACACCAGATTTTAAAGCTTTCATTCTGGAATCCAATAGAAATCAAATCAATGACTGAGGGGGAAAAATGGGCCAAGCAAAGCCAGTGGCTTTGCTAATCCAAGGATCCAGTCCTAGGTTGGTGAGAAGTTATTTAATAACTATCAAATAAATGGGGCTTGTTCTTAGAGCCACGTGGGCACAGCCCAGCTAGGGTGAAGCTGGTGGGCACAGGTAAGACAAAAATAAGGAAGGCACAAGCTCTGCCCTTAGGCTCTTGAGAGTTTAATGTACTGTGGGGAGAAAAGAGGAACTTTGGAGGCCATGGTGAGGCTTTAAAAATAACCTTCCCAGGCTAGAGCCCCACCAGCGAGGCTCCACGGCATGGGCTCTGTGGGTTGCCTGGCACCCCAGATGCCCATATAATCTAATTCCTTAATTGCCATGATGTGATTTGATGTGACGTACCTGACGGGCTCTCATTTCCTCTGTTTTCTGAAGAAGCTGACCAAGATAACTTGTGGAAAACTCTGTAAGTTAAAGGTCTGGGCCAGCCTTCCCCATGGGCTCCCTGGATGGGTGGAGTTTCTCCTGGAGCCAGTCTTTTTCATGAAAGACACATTCTTGCCCTGCCAAGTAGGGGAATAAATTAGGTCCATGAGGTTTGAGAATGCACCTTGGGTTTCTTTATTTTGCATGGAGATTTGTACACATTTAGGCATTTCTAGAAGAAACCAGGTTGTGGCAGAGGCTGAAAAATCCCCTTTTATGCTGCGTCCTGCCTCCTAAAGTGAAAGACATCTCTTTCTAACTTTGGTGTGTGGTAGGGTCATTCTGGAGGGGATTTATAGCTCCTCAATTCATATGCATATTCATATCCCTTGAAAGATATGAAGTGATGAAATATCATCAGTTTGGATGTGATATCTGAAGAATATTCATGACTAATTAAAAAATCTATTGAGATGGAAACAAAGTATTCATTATATATAACTTTGAAGTTTGAATGACAAAGTTTTGATGCCACTTTGTGGGATTTAACATACACATACCTGTATGTAAAATGATTTAGGAACAAATATTTCTAATGGAAAAAGGAAAATTATGAGTGTGGGCATGGGATTCTGCTTAAATATTCTGAGCTCCACAATAAGGAGAACGTCTTTTGTCGAGGGCATAGATGGTACTCTAATATAAGCTTCACATATGTAAGTATCTGTGCTTGGTGACGTAAGCAGGGCCAAATATGAGCATGAGCGTGCGTTTGTGTGAGCACTCACCTGTCTGAATGCTGGGAAAAGTAATAGTAGCCAAAATGGTGCCAGGATGTCCCCCTGCTGTTGAGGAGTTTCCATTATTTCTTGCGTGTTCCCAGGGTCATGTTCAGCAGGCCAATAGCCACTAGCCATCTGTGTCTGTCTGGAGTTAGTGCTAATGCTAATAGCAAGATAAGTACCATCGCACATGATCAAAAAATATCTAAGATCACTTCAAACAGAAAGCCTGTAACTTGGGAACAGCATTTTAATGAAATCTGCTTTCTGCCCAGTCACTTGTGTTCAGAATCTTATTCCTCGTTAAGTTTGAATGACCTCACTTCCCTTTGGCTGGATAGAATATGGTTAAGTGTATCATGAAAAGTAAGAGATAGTCTTCTCTTCAGTGTTCTGTGTGTACCTTGTGGAGAGCGTTGATGATAGTATCTGTAAGATGAATAAGAAAGACTAGAGAATGTTGAATTCTGTATTTTAAGCAACAGCTCAGGGATATGTGGTTGTAAAGAGACACCTATTGGTCAGCTTCAGAAGACTCATTGTCTTCTTTTTCTTTCTTGCCTTTTCCAATAACTTTTTAGCAAGGTCTGCCACCTAGTGAAAAATGGATGCATTTGACTCAACACTAAGCATCGACCTGACCTTGTTTTGTAATTGCCCCAATTTCAGATGGACCTTATATAAAATTGTCAATTTCAGATGGACCTTATATAAATTTGTCAATTTCAGATGGACCTTATATAAATTTGTCAATTTCAGATGAACATTATATAAATTTGTCAATTTCAGATGGATATTATATAAATTTGTTGAACTTATTACTGTACTCATAATTCAAAGTGATGCATTTCTGTTTGTAAAAATATGCACAACATTTACCCAACAAATTATGTTGGTTTTATAAGATAGGCAAGAAGGGAAAGGTTATGACATCATCAGTCTATGCGGTCGGAAGAAGGAAGTAGGCAGAAGCAGCTAGCACTACACTGGAGGTGAGCCAGCACCCTGCAGGACTCTTTCTTATGTCTGCATGATAACCTACAAGGTAGAGGAATTTTAAAAATGGACAACCAAGCCTGAGCCCAGTATCCCAGGGCATTCAGAATAAAGGTGATGGAGCCAGGATTCCTACTCAGTCTGTCTGCCTCCAAGGCTGTGCACTTCGTTGCTGGACTCTGCCACCCCACTTGGTTTGCTTAAAGGACACTCAGTGTCCAGCAGTATGTGGCATTATGGGTAGTGATAAGAGCTGCCGTTCTTCATGATTCATATGAGCTGGCTGGCCACTATGCTAAGCACTTCCACACACATTATTTTAATGAATGCCTCCAAAGTAGCTTATTTTGCAAGGTCGAGTTTATTCCTATTTACAGATGAAGAAATGAAGACACAAGGAAGTTAATTATGTTGGTCAAATGGCACAGCTAGCAAGGAGTAGGTAGAGGCAGCATTTGAATTTAAAGCAGTTTAACTTCAAGTCCCGCATATTTCGCCACACTAATGGTAA